TGCCCCCCCCCCCCCCAATTATCATTCTTGCTACGGCACTGCTCGTTTTTCGTCGATTTGGACATCTGGTCGACGTCAGGATAATTTGTCAACATCGTGTTGTAGCCTGTGAATATGAATATTTTCGTTTGTCGGAGAAAAACACTTGTCCTCATTGTTTTTAATCCTTTAATGACAACTTATTCATTGGTCTCGGAGTCCTAACTGTAGGAAGATGGGTGATTTTCGGACAGATTGATTTTGTTTAATGTTGCCGTTCAGACATTAACATTTATGAAGCATATGAACTTCATTGTTTTTACTTCATCTGACTCACATAGTCACAATTGGGCCCTGTTCATATCATATTACTTAGCGAGGTGGTATATTGCATTTGCTAGTATGCTCTAACCTATCCTGCAACTAGAATGTTTTTGCTATGCAATGTCTTTTGATAGCAATGTTTTTGCTATCCAGCTGCATACAGGATATATGTTGGATAGTTGAAAATATCCAGCTAGACTCAGGGTATTATTCAAATATATAAATGTTTTTCTAACCTGTAAAGAAGACATGAACTTAGCTGCAGCTGAGCTTCGCCCTATTCTTGATGTTACATGATCTTCTTGCTTTTTTTCTGCCCAGACCCCAGCCAAGTTACTGTATGTATATAGAGACTACCAACTACAGACTTTTAACGCATTCATTGACAGACCTCTACCAACTGATAAGTAAAATTGTCTGGCATTTACAGACGGTAATTACTAAAGTAGGTCTGTAATAGCCTGTGATGTTTCAATACTTCTACACTTGTTCTCAATTTCTTTTAGTAATTATATTTTACTTAAAGACTATTTACATATATTTTAACTTTTTATTATCTATGTTTTAACTACTGGTATTTATAATATATTTTAAAAATATTTATAGACTATATGTATTTGTATACACTATATTTAATAACTATTTCAACTGTATTAGCAGGACATATTTTAACTATTTATTTAATATGTTATTACTATTTTTTAACTATTTTTAATCTATTTGGGCAATGTTATATCGCTATTTATTATCAATTTATAACAAGCTGGGATGTATTTTAACTATTTATCATCTATATTTTTAAACTATATTATCACTATTTTTGAACTATTTATTATCTATTTTTAAACTATATTATCACTATTATTGAACTATTTATTATCTATTTTTAACCTGAGTATCAGGCCCTTATGTTTTCATTCGCTAGGATTAATTGGCGGCGGCGAATGAAGGAGGGCCTGATACAATTCTTTACCGCGGCGCATGTAAAAAGCCAGATTCTGGCTTTTTCGTCTGATTGGCCGATTA